CTAAGGAGCTGGGGGTCGAATATCTCGAAGCTTTTGGGGATTCTCAATTGATAGTCAACCAAGTCCGTGGAGAGTATGAAGTCAGGAACTAAGACCTGATCCCGTACCACCAGGAAGCCATCAAAATGGCAGAATCTTTTGAAGAATTCTTCATTGAATATATTCCTCATCTCCAGAACGCTTATGCGGATGCACTGGCAGCACTAGCAGTATCACTTGCGCAGCCTCCCGAAACTGAGCTGTTAGTCACAATAAGGACGCATCAGCTCTGCATACCCATATACGATATGGATATTGAAGAAGAAGGTGACGGAAACATTAACGCCAAGGAGGTGAATTCAACTCAAATTGGGTCTGAGTCCCAAGATTGGCGTTTTCCCATCATTGACTACGTCCAGTATGGTATTTTGCCAGAGGATGTAAAAGAAAGAGAATCAATCCGCCGAAGAGCACCAAGATTCTTCTATAATACCAAAACCCATACGTTATACCGTAGAGGGTACGATGGTTTATTACTCCGATGCCTTTCGAACAAAGAAGCAGAAGAAGTTCTTAAGGAAGCGCACGAAGGAGAATGTGGGGCACATCAGCCTGGTCCCAAACTGTATGATCGCATCAGGAGAATGGGATATTTCTGGCCAACGATGGTTCGAGATGCAATCGAACACGCACGAGAATGCCACGCTTGTCAGATACATGCAAATTATATGCATCAGCCGCCAGAACAGTTGCACACGTCAACCACATCTTAGCCGTTCGAGACATGGGGCATGGACATCATCGGTCCTATTTTTCCCCCTTCAGTCAAAGGTGATCGATTCATCCTCGCAATCACAGATTACTTTTCAAAGTGGGCTGAAGCAATCCCGCTTAGAGAAGTGAAGACGAACAACGTCATCAATTTTATCAAACATCATGTCATATACCGACACGGCGTGCCAAGACGGATCATTCATGACAACGGTCCACAGTTCATAAGCAACGCCTTCATCAGGTTTTGTGACAAATTCAAAATTGAAGATGTCTCGTCGACAGCTTATTATCTCGCCGCAAACGGACTAGCTGAGGCTTTCAACAAGACAATCATTAAGATCCTGTCAAAGCTCGTGAAGACCAATAAACGAGACTGGGACGATAAACTCGGTGAAGCACTCTGGGCTTATCGCACCACCATACGCACACCTACAGGAGCCACCCCATATTCGTCGGACTAGCTGAGGCTTTCAACAAGACGATCATTAAGATCCTGTCAAAGCTCGTGAAGACCAATAAACTAGACTGGGATGATAAACTCGGTGAAGCACTCTGGGCTTATCGCACCACCATACGCACACCTACAAGGTCCACCCCGTACTCGTTGGTATACGGATGCGAGGCTGTGCTACCTTTGGAGATTCAAATCCCGTCACTTCGGATCGCTCTCGCAACTGAGATGACGACAGAAGAACAACATCAAAAACATCTCGAAGAACTCGAAAGGTTGGATGAAAAGCGCTTGGAAGCTCAACAAGTACTCGTTGGTATACGGATGCGAGGCTGTGCTACCTTTGGAGATCCAAATCCCGTCACTTCGGATCGCTCTCGCAACTGAGATGACGACAGAAGAACACCATCAGAAACGTATCGAAGAACTCGAGAGGTTGGATGAAAAGCGCTTGGAGGCTCAACAACAAATCGAGTTCTATCAAGCCAGAATATCTAGGGCTTTCATCAACTCCAAGAAGAAAGGTAAATTCGAACCCAAGTGGGAAGGACCGTTTGTGATAGACACAGTCTACTCAAACGGTGCATATCGCCTGATTACTCAAGAAGGCACCAGGCAATTAATGCCAATAAATGGGAAGTTCCTGAAAAAATACTATCCCTAGTACATTCAGGATAACCCATTTACCGGGAAGTTCCTTGAAGAATATTACACTTAATATTCTTGAACAAGAGGTCCACTTTCATTTCGGAGTCCCCTTTCGATAAACGAAAGAACTCCATTCTTCTTCTCTTTGGTTAAACCTTCTCATGGTTATAACCTAAGTTGAAGTTTCACTTCGATAAACGAAGAACTCATTTTTCAGTTTAGATAACCAATCCTATAAAAGGCAAGTTTATCTAGATTTTTCCAGATTCTCGGAGTGGAGATCCCACTCCTAGTTTCTTCTGCACTGGAAATAGAATATAAAATTCTTCCTTTCCAGAATCAAGGAATAGAATATAAAATTCTTCCTTCCTTGTTATTCGGGTTTGCCTTCACCCTAAAAGAAGACCGGGAAATAGAATATAAAATTCTTCCTTTCCCACACCAACCTTTTCCAAGAATTCATCAATCTAGGATTCATCCTAGGAAGTTTATCCCGAATCCTAAGCAGGGATAAGTCTGCGCCTAACACGCGCTGACGGTTTAGTCTTTTTCCCCCGTAGAAAAAGACACCAGAGTTCGATTCTGGGGTATTCTATCCTGAAACCTAAGCAAGGATAAGTCTGCGCCTGACACGCGCTGCCGGTTAGTTCTTAACCGTTTAAAAAGAACACCCGTTCACATATTCGACATTGTGACAGGTTGTTATTAATAACACCAAAATCCATGCCTTACACGTATGGGGAATTTCATCCCGAATCCTAAGAAGGGATATGCCGACGCCTAACACGCGTCGCCGGTTTAGTCTTTCTCCGAAGAAAAAGACACCAGAGTTTGATTCTGGGGAATTTTATCCCGAAGCCTAAGTAGGGATAAGTCAGCGTCTAAAACACGTTGCTGGGTAGCCTATTCCCATAACAATGGCAAAGTCTACATATTCGAAGTTGTAGCATCAAGTCTAAGGGAGTTCATTCCTTTAGCACAACGTCACATGCGGAACGGACTCAAAACAATTCGCATGCTAGCCCGATTCAAACGGTAGTCGGTAAAGGCTAATCAAACCCGTTAAAGGCTGGGGGTTAGCCAAAAATCCTAAAGCCAAC